TCTGGTTCTATCTCTGACCTCTCCGGTGCAGTTCAACAGAACATGCTAAGCCATAGTTCAGTCAGCCAGCGGCTCACCTTCTTCATGACCAGCGTGTCCATCACGTAGAACACGTTCCATGGCATCCACACGGTTCTGTACTGAGTGAGGAACGGAGCGCGCTCGAAGCTCAGCGTCAGAGATGCTCCTCCGTTGGCCAGGAGATCGAACCTGCCGGCACACCAACACCAAACAAACAACAACAAAAAAAGTGTTCAGCAAGTAGAAGAAAGCGCTGCAGTCAGCTGTAAGCCGCCTGCAGCGCCATTAAACTGGATTAAAATGTTGGCTTGATTAAAGCTTTCTGCTGACTGAGTCGCGTTAACCTTAAAACTCTTGAGGCATGTAACAGGAAGTTAAGAACTGTACAACAAACAGCCTCGTTTGAATTCTACGTGTGTGTTTGTGCCCTGATAAACTGTGTGTGCATATCATGACATATATGTATTCCTGAGCATTAGATCATCATTAACTATATTTTCTTTTAATTGATATGCCCACACAATTAAACTTGTCACTGAAAACAACACAGTGTTCATCACAGATACTCGGTTTGGATCCTTACTTACAGCTCTGTGGAATAATCAGAGAAGCGTCAGCTCGATTTATCCTTACTGTCAGGATCAGCTGGCTGCGGAGAAACCCCCATACTTGGCACGCCGGTAGTACTAATAAATGTTTAATGTTTTCATTGTTGGAAACGGTGATTCTTTTGCCCCCTTTGTGTCCACAGGATATGAATGGACAGAGACATGTGTCACTGTTGCAGGTGTATAGAAACCAGGCTGACGGGGAAGTCTGAGCTTCAGCGTCATCGTGTTTGGTGGAAGAATAACGAGTTCCCCTGCAGTCAGCTGTGCGCCTGCATGTTTCTCCCATCTGCACGACTAACAAACAGCCATTACTTTTGATTCTGAACCAAGCATCACAATTTGGTGATTATTAATTAAGATCTTAAATTAGGGAAGTCTTTTCTAACTGAGTGTGGATGTTTTTATCACACAGGAAAACCCTGATGGCAGTGGTGTGTCTATAATGTCTGATGTTCCTGTTTATGATGTAAACATGAGAAGCAAAGCCACAATTTGTAAAAAATACTAATAAAAATAAGTGCATTCTCCTTTATTGTTGAGCTGCTTTACATGCACTGGATGGCAGAAATCAGACCACTGTGGTGTTATGAGAACATTTATGGAATATTGCACCTGAATAATAAAGGACACTGTATGTGCTCCTTTACTGTGCCTGTCATCTGCTTCTTCCTCTCCTCCTGTTGTCTAATTTGCACCAACTTGTGAAAGTTGATGCTCCTTATCGATCAGATATCGCCACATGTTGATGGCGGTATGGAGCCGAGCTGATGTGTGGCGGCCTGATCAATTATATTTTACAAGTGAGTTCACTGAATAGAAAAGGCAGGACATCTATTTTCAGATGTGGGAAGGTATGCAAGGTGCACAGAAAACAGCAGGTGATAAATGTTGCATGAATATAAATAATCAATAAATACACACATGCCGTCCTTGCGTGTTATGGTGAATCCGTGTTCAGGGTAGTGGACAAACGTCACGTTGACTCCAATCAGAGGCGTCCCGTCGGCTGTCAGCACTTGACCTCGAATTATCGACACCAAGCTGGTGAGAGAGAGACGGAGGGTCGTTTCGTTTGTTAGGATCCTCGTTAGCGCCAGCATAAGCATCGACTCGTCTTCCTGGAGTCCACTCACATACGCACAATCACACTGATACACACAACAAGCACAACAGCTCTCGAGTGATCGTAGCTATCAACGCTAAGCTAACAGTTCAGACATGACTGTGTGCTCACCTGTAGGTAAACCAGTAAATCGACCAATCAGAGACGAGCCGGTGTCTCTGTCAGGCCCAAGGAACCAAACATACACTCACACACTCACACACTCTTATCATCACATTTACTGCTTGTGAGGAAACTGCAGAGCCCACCGAGTCATGGCTTAAAACAACTGCTGTGGTTCTAACTGCTGAGCAGCGGCGGTGATGGGACACTAATGCTACCACAGACCTCCACTTTACATCGTCACCAAGCTGATTGTCATCATTCTATGATACAGTACAGTTTACAGGAGCAGCATTCAAGTGAAGTGGATGTCTGGTGGAAATACTCTTCTTCATTTGGTAAATAACTTCTGAACCGTACAGCCTTCACAGTTTGTTTAGTCAGATTCGATTCATCACTTCTTTGTGGAGGTCACATCCACTCGTGTCACAGATTTTCAGAGTTTTGGTCTCATCCCCTCGTCCCTGCTTAGGTTTTTATTTTTCTACATGAAGAACTTGTGTGCAGCCGCAGTGATGGTAATTTAAACATGCGTACAACAAATGTCGTGGTTTATTAGGTTTGATAATTACATATTTTTACATGAGGACATGTAAAACCTATAATCTCTATGAGGTAATTTAATGGTTTCAGCTTGTGTTGACATCAGTCCTGAAGCAGCTTTAAATCAGACCGATCCAAACAAATCCAATTATTCAGTGTGCTCATGAGGAAGAACAGGCCTCAGAAGCTCAAACACCAAGCTAATGAAAAAACACACGAATGAAACGCAGCTCGGAGTATTTATTGCAGGTTTTACAGCCTCTGGAACAAAATACTTCCAAACCATAATAGAATTATTTCTGTAATATCAAAATTATGATAAATATAAATAATAAGCTGTAGCGATTAGGCCTGGTCAGAGATGATATCTCATTAAAGTGAATCGTTTATAACTTTTCAAGCTAAGCAGAGTTGGCTCCACTCTTTGGTCTAAACATGTAAGAAATAAAAATGCTGGCTAAAGAAGGCCTGACTCAGTGAGTCACTAACATCAGGGCCAGTAATTGGAATGCCATGTCCTGCCTTTTTGGTTTCAAACAAACCCATTTATGTTGATCTAAATATATACTGCAAATGAGTTTTTGCTGATAAGATGCCCATGCATATGCATTGCAGGCAGATATTTTTTCAGCAGGACTGTAGAGCAGTTGTACCATTTCGTCTTAACACAAAGAACATGTCAATAAATGACACTAACACTAACCCTGACGACAAGGTCAGGTCCAGAGGTGAAGAGTGGGGGCTCAACCCAGTCCAGAAATCTGTAAGTATTTCAGAGTCAAATGACAATAAAACAACATGCTCTTTGCAAAATAAGGCGATCCCAACTTCTGTCTATGTTTAGCCACATTAAGGTCACAGTGAGAGCAGGGTTGCAAGACTATCCATCCATCCATCCATCCATCCATCAGTCCCTCCATCCATCCATCCATCCATCCGTCATCTCTACACCTTAATCCTCACTAGGGTCATGGGGGGCGGAGCCTATCCCAGCTGACTCAGGGTGAAGGCAGGTTCACCTGAACAGGTAACCAGTCTATCACAGGGCTACACTTAGAGACAGACAACCAAGCACACTCACATTCACACCTACGGACAACTTACAATCACCAATTAACCTCAGCATGTTTCTGGACTGTGGGAGGAAGCCGGAGAACCCGGAGAGAACCCACACAGAACAATCCCGGGTGTCTTCACATTCAAAAGTGTGCCTTGTAACAGAAATGTGTGTCAGGCAGACATTACCTGTGTTAGCTTGCTGGTATTAAAGTTCCTATTGGTTCCAGCACACTGTGTATTATTGCTACCAACTTTCCCACCACAGTGTTTCTATGTGACGATCGCTCATATACACGTGACTGCTGATGGTACCACTTTCCCTAAAACTACTGGAAGCACTATAACCAGGATTTTTCTTTAAGCCCAGTGACAATATTATACAAGTCTTCTAGTTGGGACACTGTTGGAGTGGTTTCATTATCACACCTGCTCAATGCTTGTTCAAATATGAGCCATAAATGCAGAAAATGTAATTTTGATATATCTTTCTCATAAAGTATTCCTCTGACTGGCACCGTACTCCACGTTTTTAAAGCTCCTACTGGTGGTAATCACAGGCAAAATATTCTGCCTCTCGGGCTGAAAAATAAAGGTTTTATGGTTGGTGGAATCCTGGAGTACACCATTATATAACCGGTCTGTGTTATTCTATCGAAGCAGAGCTGCACCACTGAATATGTACACATCCCTGAGCCGACAACATTTCAGGACTCCAGCTACGTTAATTCTCAAGTTGTGGCACCTCAAACGTTGCTCCACAGATTGGTGTGAAGAAAACAGCTCTTTAAGAATGTTTAGCCTGAAAAGTCTGTGAAGATCCTCAGTCCTCCAGGTCATGGTTATTCTGATCAGATCAATCGTAGCAACTGGACCTGCATGAGGTCCTTGAAGATGTTCCACCTCCATCCAAGAGGCTTCATCAGCTCTGACTGACTAGTTGGGAGTTCCAGATACTGATATCCTTAACGAGCCATTAACACCAAAACAGGATAGATGGTTTGAGAGAGGGTTGAAAGAAGCCATCTAACTGGAGAGACCATCCCTCAGCAGAGGTGGAGGTCTGAGGCATCACCTCTCACCTGTTTACAATTCAGTCCTAAGATCTCCCCAGGAAGATGAACCCACATCCACACCTAGCCACAGAGACCCTAACGAACCCCACTGTGTCAGGGGGAGCACTAACGACTCACATAACGAGGGGGAGGAGCAACAAACCCCCAATTGAAACCCAAACTCAGGTGTTAATGTCTCCTTCAGGATATCAGTATGTGGAACTCCCAACTAGTCAGTCAGAGCTGATGAAGCCTCTTGGATGAAGGTGGAACGTCTTCAAGGAACTCAAGCAGGTCCAGCTGCTACCTTTAATCTACGAGAATTCAGCCCGAAAACTAATGCTAGCTCTGACCCCAGACTCTACACGTGGACAATCATATTCGCGACCTGATCAAAACATCAGTCAAACTGAAGATGGTCAGATGTGGGCGTTCTGTGAATTGAGGTGGAACGAGCCAATAGGCTGCAGCCCCGAATGCCCGGGCCTAATGATGCCACTGGCGACTGGACGCGGTAACATCGAGTTAGCCAACCTGTTGGACTCCTGCACAAACCTGATATCTGGATTATATTGTTTTATATTGTTTTCACAGATTAAGTGTTAATAAAAAGCCTGTTTGCAATCAAAACATACCAGATACGTGCCAGATGTGTAAAACATCCTATTAGACGACGGTCATGTTAACAGGCAGCTTCACTGTTCAGCCAGCACAGAGGAAAGCTTCATCAATCTGCCACAGAGGATGAAAACATGGACTCTGCACATCTGTTTCTCTCTGTTTTTTTTCCCCCAGAGCTGTCTTACCTTCCTCCAGTTTGAGTGCAAACCTACACACTGCCTTATTAAAACGCAGGCATCTCGCCCGTTGAGCTAACAGGTATTTTTTTAGGAACATTTTTTACCGATTATACTTCATACATTACACTGTGTGGTTTATCTCTGACAGTGTGCTGTGTGTGGATGAGTCACTTTGACAGGAAAAAGGGGAAATTAAGATATCATCTCTTTGTCTTTTAAGTGTAAAGCCGGCATTTTAAACACCCTTCAACCACACACACACACACACACACACACACACCAACTCTGTTTTCGCGTCTAATAAAACATTTTTATTATAAGGTTACAGGCCCATTCCATTATGGAAATCCTGGACGTTTTTATTACATGGTTGTGGCCCTCTCCTCTTATGAAACATTCAGGCTGGCATAAAAAATGTGACAAAAGCAGAAAAATGGCTGAACAGAATGGCCGTCATGTTTCTTCCTTGTCAGTAACTCTGCCTTTCACTCTCTGTATTTTGCAGACTGCCCCCCACCACCCCTCTCTCCCTCTCTCTTATCATATTTAATGAATGTTATTTCTGAGGCAGATGTGGGCAGAAATGGCTTTTGGCGAGAAAAAAAATGGCAGACCTTGAGTCCTCGTATTGTATCTCAGACTCAATCATGCTTTTTTTTTTCTATTGCATTCATCCAAACATAAAGCAAAGCCAAACTGCTACTTCTCATATTATGGTAAATAAAATTAGGGTAAGCTATGACCTGCAGGCACACGCATTTGGAGTCAAACAGTCACTGCTATAGAAGGAAAACACACACACGGAAAAAAAGAAATGACACAGAATATCCATAAACCCACGATGATGAAAAACATACAGAGGGACTGGAAGTAATTTTAGCCTTTCTTTAAAGTGCTGTGCAGCGGCCCTGGGTAGGAGGGCTTTTTTTCTGCTCCTCTGATGTCTGGACCTCCCGGTGTTTTCTTGCATGTCTTGGATTTCATTGTGTTTCTTGTGTTACTGTATAACTTCACAACTTAAACAACGGATACAAAACAATTTGTGTGCAGGGATTATTAAAGTTACTCTAAACAAGCTGCTAAAATCTGTTTTATCCTTAATGCTAGCTGCTTGTTTGAATCTTTTTTTGGACATTTAAACTTCATTCCTGATGGCTGTGGTGACTGCTCACTCACCAGTTGGTCAAAA